GACTCGCTCATCTTGGCTTCGTGCATTGACAACGTTTGCTTGCTTCTTCTTGTTGATCCTGTTCCCTGTTCTGGGCTTCGATGATTCTCGATCTTGATGATGAGGATGACGGAGTGCTAATCTCTTGTCCGAGACTGTCGATGAGTTCTGGCGGCTTAGAGCACCACGTCTATTTACACCTGGACATCTTTTACACGTGAATTTTGGTTCTGTTTTCTGAAGGAGCTCGGGTTCTCTCTTGGGCTGCTTGGTCATGGCTTTGGTCGGAGGGTTATTGGACTGGGTGGATTCTGCGGTCTCTTGTTTTGATGAGATTGGCGTGCATCTCCGTAACTCCTCTGGAGTTTTAACCTCTTCTTCGGTAGAAATCTTAGGCTCTGTATTCTCTGCTGTAGAAGCTACAGGTCCTCTAGCATTCTCTAGTTTTTCCAAGGTCTGAGGGGGTTCCGGTGTATAGCAGATTATCTGCGATAGAAAAACACATTGTATAAGATCAAGGAATAACCAGAGAAGAAGAAAATAAAGGAGATTGGAGAGTGAAATATTTCGAAGAGGTCTTTCTGCACTAAAGTGAGATATAAATAATACCTTGGCTTGAGATTGGAGAGCTTGGTTAGTAGCACCATCCAACAGTTTCTTCAGTACGTCCCTGGACTTTTCATCCAACTGGAAGGAAATGGGGAAGCACATTTGTCATCTTTAAACACAGAGAAATTAAGGTACTAAACAGAAAAACCCCCCCCAAAAAAAAAACTCGGGTTTATCATTAATATAAAAGAGCTAAGACATCAAGTCAGGAGGAGGTGCAGGAGGGGGGGAGTCGATTATCATTCATTAAAGAAAATAAATACACAAACACAAGTATAGAGTTGTACCACAAAGAAGGCTAGATAAACTCATACTCTTCAAGTCCCTTTGTGTTTTATGATGAACCTTCCATCATAAAACAAATCTCATCTTATTGGAACAAAAAGGATTTGCATACAGATCCCACTCATGATGTATAAACCTCGACTTGTGTTTTACTCCCACATATTAGTACTTATCCAAGTATATGGTTTGTGAAAATCAGAATCAAATCTTCGCTTGCATCATGATCTAATTCCAGCTTTGCTCACTTGTTGATGATAAGAATTGAGCTTTTGGAGAAGAAGAGACTACTTTATTCAATGCATTGAAGTGTTTAAGTATAAGAGCTAAGGGAGAGGCTCTAGAATCCTAAGCGATGTGCGACTAAAATAAAGAAAAGCAAGATATTAGATACCCTAACTGCTACATTTAACAGATATCTTCTCCATTTGTAAACTAATATAACGGTTCGCTCCATTGTTTGCGTAGAGAGAGTACATCATTTTGTAGGGAGTGCAGGCACTTGAAGGGGAGTGCTGTAACAATGTGCTAAACATCAACACTTACCAAGAGGCACATGTATATACAAGAAAACTGTTTCTTCAACTCAGTTTCAGGTAACCAAGAAAAATCACCGTAAGATGGAATAAGAATTGTCGCAAAGAGCATGATGATCTTGTGATCATTTTCTTCTTGCTGAGGTAAGTTTGGGATGAAGCACCCTGTATTTTCCATTAATGATGAACATGAGTCTATATAACTCGAGACCTGACTGCATCAGGAGTTTTAGATCCAGAGCTGATGTTAAACAACTTGATTTTTCTCACTCTGAAGTCTGAACAAAGATACACATACAACAGGAGCAAGTTTTGGAAAGATTAGCGGAGAAAAGGCAGAACTTGTTGTAGACTCTTTACTGCATCATAAGCTATTGATTTGAGGATTGGAGAGGCTACTAAGAGTATATCATGCTCTTTGCTGATTCCATATGATTTTTCGAAGGACTAGGACGGTTATAACCCATATTTTTTCTCAAATTATGTTGATTCAAGGCATATGCAATGATCAATTTCATGAACTTGATACCGCAAATGAATATTTGTCTTTTACCAAGTGCATCAAAATTCCTTAAAGAAAGTAATTGACACCCAATATGTTGCATTCAACTTCAATGTTTTCCTTTTCAAAAAAAAAAAAAAAACACTCAAGAAAATGCAAAAAAAGGAAAGGAAAATAAAGAGGGCGTACACAGTCACGGCTATCATCTCCACTTGCGATGTGAAGGAAACGGTACAAATTCTTCAGTGCATACAATTCTGACCACAAATCCTCAAGTCCAGACTCCTCTGCCATTATACCTATCATTAATCCACGCATCAATTATATTTTTAGTAAAGAGTTCACAAAATTAGAGAACAAGACAACATTAGAAATTGGAAAATAATACAAAACAGAAAGAGGTTTGATTTGATCTGATTTTGCTCACTTACCTTCTATTGTTGTCGCATTAGAAGGAGAGGCTTCCATATTGATGCGTTTGAAGCCGTAATTTTACCAATTTATTTCTGGAGTAAAAAAAATGGTGAGAAAGAGAAAGTTGTATGCAAACAGTTGAAGAACCGCCAACGGACGCCTCTTTTAAAAATTAGATTTGGGACGTTGATGGGCCTTTATCAATGGAATTCTCAACATTTGCGGCCCAATAATTTTTAAGATCAGCTATTCAAATTTAACGAAGACAGGAATATTATTATTTTAAAAATTATTAATTTTTCAGGTGATTAAAAAATTATTCTTAGTTAAGTCAATAGACTTAAAATGAGAAACAAAAAATTATTCTTAGTTAAGTCAATAGACTTAAAGACGAGAAACAAAATTTTCAAGGATTTCGGATCACTAATCCATGTAGCCTATGTCGCCAAGATCAACATTTTAGAGTTCCATTAGTTGCTTAACTTTTGACCCTTGACACATGATTTAAAACATGTTGAAATTCTTTGAAATTTTTTTTCTAAAGACAGTTGACAACAACCGTCGGGTTGGATTTTAAATATAAGATTCAGAAATTTAAAATTGTGTTGATAGTATTTGCATATTAAATATTAAATATAATTAATTGTAGCCCAACTCAACTCCGGAAGAGTTAGAATATTATTAATAACACCAGCTTTTTCCCTCTCCTTTTCGTCATCAACCTTCCAAATCAAACATTAACGATATGTTAATAATATTCAGCCTATTTTTTTTACTGTTTAACCGACTTGCCTTTGGGTGGTTTTGCTAAAAGAAATAATATTTCAAGGTTGAGGGAAATTTGGGAGATAACAATTTGGAGTTTCTTGATGGATATGACCCTTTCAAGGAATTCCTCAACTTTATTAAGACGAGAGCAGTGAACGCTTAAAGATGGATTGAAGGTATGAGATCTTGGCTTTATCAGAATGCAAATAAGACTCAGTAAAGTGCACATATTTTCCCTTGCACAAAATTAGAACCAATCAAAGATTCAACGTGCCCAGGTGAATGCCTTGTCGACCATCGCTTAACAGAAGAATATCGATTCTATTGACTGCCAACTACCATGTATTTTTTAAGGGCATTGAGAACTACAGACTGATTTATAAACACATAAAAATAACTGGTACATGCATGATAGTTTGATTTCGGACTGACTAATTACCAAATGCCACGATCCATACTTACATGCACAAAACGATTTAGTGAATAAATGAAACAAACTTCAGCTCTGAACAATGAAGCCTAGTTCGGAAAACAATAGTATAAGAGGAACCCCATGAAGGAAGAAAAAGGAAAAAATAGAGCACCTTTCCAATCTGAGCCAATATACAAGATTAACTCTCCCTCTTTTCATACTACTGGGGTTGCTGCATGATTGAAACTGGTTTTTTTGTGTACATCCCAAGGAAGGCCGAAAAGAATTTCTGACACAACAAATGGAATAATTTTTACAGACAGTTTCATTCAGTTTCTAACTTGTCATCAAGCGCGGGAACTATCGCAGATGAAAGTTCAATATGTGACACGCGAACAGCACCAATAAAGCTCGTCAAAAGTGATGCCCTGTGAATACTTACCAAATCTAAAACCAGAAGACTTGGACTGAAAGAATCTCCAGAAAAAGTTTTAGTTTTAAATTACAGCAGGCAATAATATTTTTCTGATTTTCAAAATTTTAAGGTAGTACATAGGAATTGTGAGGATGAACGGGTGAGCAAATATAGATTTCAAAGCTGAAATTTGAGAGTTATCCCGAATTAAATACTTCCATGTAACCTTTTGTAGTTGTTTCTAAGGGCCTGTTCGTTTGCCTTAAAAAAATGGGAAATCAAAGAAATAGAAAACTATTTCTAAGAAAAATGGGTTTTTGAATTGTTTGGTTGGCTAAAAAAAGGAAATCAAAGAAATGGAGATGAGATGAGATGAGTTGTCACATTATTATTGGATGATGTGAGTGATTTTTTAAGAAAACTAGTTTTGATGTTGTTCGGTTGGCGAAAAAAATAAGGAAATGAATTATAAGAAACCTATTTCCTGTAGTTTTGTTGTTTTCTTTTGTTTGGTTCATTCTTAAAAATAAGAAATGAAATGAGATGAGATGAGTTGTCATTGTATTATTGGGTGATGTGAAGAAAGATTAAGAAAAGTGTTTTCACAACTTTTTGGGATAAAAACAAAGAAATAAAATGTTAATGAGATTAGGTGAATTGTTATAATATTTTATTCGATGATGTGAGTGATTTAAAATAATGAAAAGAGATGAGTTGAGTGATGTTTGGATGAAAATAATATTTTATTAGATGTGATGGATGAATTGTTAGATGAAAATAATATTTTATTAGATGTGGTGGATGAGTTGTTAGATGAAAATAATATTTTATTAGATATGGTGGATGAGTGGTTAGATGAAAATAATATTTTATTAGATGGTGTGGATGAGTTGTTGGATGAAAATAATATTTTATTAGATGTTGTGGGTGAGTTTTAGGGATGGAAATGGAAGAAATGGATTATTTTGAGATTTCCACCTTTTCCATTTCCATTTCTTGGTTTTTAGGAAATAAACGAACAGGCCCTAAGACTAAATAATCACACTGTTGAATGGAAAACTACGAGTGACCTCTTTTAGATCATAGAAGAGAAGGGGCTGGTGCATCTGTTTGCTTCAAAATTGTCCCATAGCCGGGACATCCTGTATGGAGCTTGATGTTACTGCAAATTGATCTTTGCCGTGGCGTGACTTGGCATTTATCTGGCCATGGGGTTTACCTTAGTATGAGGTTTGCCAGGAAGTATGATTCTGGCGCGTGGGATGTCCAGCATGATCACTGAATCGACTGCAGCGGTTTCCAAGAAGCTGGCATATATGATCATGGAAGAATAATATGAACTTGCGAGAAAATATCTGTAAGGCCTAGGACATATCTTGAGATTGACATTCATGTGGGAGTGTAAGAGCATTATCGGTATTTTCTTGTTTGATGTTCATGTGAGATTATTGTGCTAATTTGGGGCTAGGTTCAGGGAAAGCTACCAAGTTATTGATTACCCTTCATCTTGACGCTTCAAGATGAGCTTGACCACGGTATGCAACCTAAAAAGACTCTGGGCGTCAAAAGCCACATGTTCCATCCCTGGAACTAGCAAAAAGAGGTTCCGGAAAATTTGCCCCCCCTTCTAAAATAGTAAATAATTGTAAGAGAACTTAAATATCTCTCACAAGAAAACTCGAACCACAGAAGAAAAAAAGCAATAATGAATACTAACCATCTAAATGCGCCCCTAAGTTATCCTGCATCACGTGTTTACCAAATTTCACATAGGAAAACCAATAGAGAGAAGAGGCAGCCAGCACTTCGCATGCATGTCGCAACAGTTATTGATACAATGTAGATCGCCTACATGCTCTTAAAACAGCAGACTGGAGAAAAAGTACTCATGGAGATCCCTCAAAAAGATAATGCCATATAATATTTGAATTAAACACGATAAATTTACATAAGGAATTGTTCCATCAAAACAAAATTCCTACAAAGCACCCAGATAACTCAAATATAAATGAGGATGCACAATGGGCTCTGCATTGTGAACAAGATTAACTATTGTTTGTCCCCCAATGAAAAGGGAATAGAAGAAAGGAAAAATGTGTCCGGCTTACAGAGAACAGGAGAAGGTGAATATCTTTGAAGGGGGCTCCGGTAATGGGTAAGGGTTTGATTCTTCTTTTTCTTCGTTGTAATTTTTCAGGGAGATTACTCCTCTATTTATAAGCCGAAATCTCATCATCTCCACCCCCTCAAACTGCCTCTGAGAGAAAATCTCTCAACAAACCCTAATTCACGTTCTCCACGATTCTCTCTACTGAGAAACCGTGGTTGATTTGGTCATCCATGACCGAGTCAAGCTAACATCTCCCACTTGACCAAATCAACCAAGTGATATGCCTCCCACTATCCGTAGCTAACATCTCCCACTTGACCAAATCAACCAAGTGATATGCCTCCCACTATCCGTGAGATCAGATGTTTTTCTTATAATTACACCCACTATCCGTAGAGAGTAACCCATATTTTATTATTCATGAAATTTTACTTGGACTTATTTATTTCTAAGTTTCATCAAACTTACATGTTTGATAAAAGATTACGTTGGTATTCCTTTTGTCAAAGGATTAGCAATCATATATGTAGTAGAGATATAAGTCACTTTGACTTCTTCCTTTTCTACAATATCTTGAATATAGTGATACTGGATCTCAATATGTTTTTCTTTGGAGCTATTCGCGTCACTATTGATTTAGCTAATTACTACTTGATTATCACAATAAATATCAATAGGTCATTCTAACAAATTAAGATCAAGATCAATCAAAAACCGTCTTATCCAGACAGCATATGTAGTTGCCATACTGCAAGCTATATATTCAGCTTCTTACGTATATCTAGCAACACACTCTTGTTTCTTGCTACTCCAAGAAACAGCTCCTCCTCCAAAGATGAATAAGTATCCCGAAATGGACTTTCCATCATCTTTATCACCTTCGAAATCAGCATCGGAATAACCGAGGAGTTCAAGCGAATCAGCTTGATAAACTAATCTATGAGTCAATGTACCTCTAATATACTTCATAATCCTTTTAACATTATCCCAATGTGCTGGTCTTGGATTACTTTGATATCGATTGACTAGACTCGGAGCATAAGCTATATCAGGTCTGGTGCACAACATTACATAAATCAAGCTTCCAATTGTTTGAGCATAAGGAACATCTAATAGCTTCTGCCCCTCTCCAGGGCTTTGCTCTTTACATAATCTCTTTCCCATAACCAACGGAGTTGGCGCCGGATTGAAATTCTTCATTCCAAACCTTTTAAGAATTGATCTTAAATATTTTTCTTAGTTTAAACTTAGCATTCTAGACTTTCTATCTCGAATTATTTAAATTCCAAGAATATATGATGCATCTCCCATGTCTTTCATCTCAAACTTTTTGCTGAGATCTCCCTTGATTTTATTCAACATTTCCATGTCATTTCCAGTGAGCAATATATCATCCA